TGTGGTTGGGGGGGGGTTACTAACCTAACCTAACCTTTTTATTTTACTAACCTAACTATTTCTTTTACTAACCTAACTTAAAATATAACCTAACCTAACCTAACCTAACCTTAACTCCTAACCTAACCTAACCTTAACTAAACGAAAAGAAATAAAAAGTAACAATCACTATGACTTACCCAGCAGGCTAGCACCACAGGCCAGAGACACCAACAGCAGAACCAGGCCTAGGATCAGTGAGTGACATCTTCCTGCAGTCTCCATGCTTGACTCCGCCCACTTCTCCTCATGGCGAGGGGCGGGGCTTGTCCGCGGTGTGAAGAAAGGGCGGGGGAGGTGCCCTGGTGTTCAGTTGGGGGTGGGACTTGCTTACAATGTGTTGAAAGGAAGGGACGAGGCTTCCTAGCGATGTAAATGAAGAAGGGGGCGTGCTGGGGGCGTAGGGGGTGTGTCCTAAGTGCTCGAAGAGGGTGGGGACGTGTCCACGACTTAAAAGAGTGGGCGGTGCCCTGCGTTCGAAGTGGGCGGGGGATTCTTTTCAAACGGGACAGAACAGGCTTCGAAAGCAGCAGATGTGTGTGTGGCTAAACTACCAGCAGTGGGCTTGTTTACTGAAGCTGTTGTAGTTTGTTTCGGGAGAGACTGTAACAGTGAATCAGCTCGACAATAGATACATATATATTATAGCCATGAAAAAATGGGGGGCAAATAAACTGGGGTTATATAGCACCTCAAGCGACAAGCCCAGGAGAGGGAAAGGTGGAAAGTATTTGTTCGTTGCCTGTATCCTAATCCACGGTGAGAAAGGCAACGATGATGATATAGCACCTCATAAAAAGTTGGGGGTATTTTGTGTTTTTTAAAATAAACATCAAACCACACTGCAGCATCCAACGATTTTTTTCAACCGTTCACGTTTTTCGGCTCTTCTTTTTGCCTCTTTGCACTCTTTATCATTAAGACGTTGCCCCAATCGACGCCATACTTAACCACACATGATCATCCTCCTTGTCGTTTACTACTGCTCTGGGTACTGTGCAAACAAGGGGACATAGGACAAAGGGAGCTCAGACCTGCGAATGAAAAAAAAAGTTTTTAGTTTTAGTAAGTGTATAACAGCACTTGCAACACAATAAGGTCATATAAGTGCCGAATGTTAGAGGTGTTACAAGAGAGTAACAAACACAAAAAAAGAAGGAGGGGCGGTAAAAACGATAGATGTTTAAAAGGAAAGAGGGAGCAAACCCCACCAGAGTACCCGCCAACAAAAACAAATCAAGGTGGATAAATGACACTAATAAAAATAAGAGTGTAATTGTGCGTTTTTTAAGTCCCCATCGGTGCAATTTAGATCTGGGAGGCAGGCTCCTTTGAGTCCTGTCTGTCAGGACATACTCGGATGGAGAAAAGGGGACTCAACTTCCCAGCAGATAGACGGAGATAAATTGGTCGCTTTTAAGCACAAGGGGGCTATCCCGAAAAATGCTGTTTTGAGAAAATCGAGAGTAAAGTTTTTGCCCCTTGTTCAGTTTCTTTAAAAGACGAAGGGGGGTTTCTCTATGACAAAAAAAACAAAACAAAAATATACTGACCAAATGAAACCAAACTTCTCCTCTAGGTAGGGCAATGCCCATTTTTGGTGTAGGTCAAGATTTCTGGGAATCCCCGAAATCTGAGTTAGCCCGCTTGTGCTTAAAAGCGACCAAATGTTAAAATTTCCAAAAACATTTCGTCACATTGGAATCGAACTCACGTATCCTGCATGCAACTGCGCCAAACCGCTACACCAAAGAAGCTGGTCGCAATAGATTAATTGCTTTTTCCGGGAGATTAGTTCCAAGGGGTGTGGGGTGGGGTGGGGGGTGGGAGAGGCCGGTGTGTTCTGAATTAAGCTCCTACCCATTCAGAATGTTCAAACGGCAACTGTGAAATTAGCCGTCGTTTTCGAAGCGGTGGGCTTTCTCTCTCTCTCTCTCTCTCTCTCTCTCTCTCTCTCTCTCTCTCTCTCTCTTATCTATCTGTTCTTTCTTCTCTCTCTCTCTCTCTCATCTCTCTCGCTCGCTCTCTCTCTCATCTCTCTCGCTCGCTCTCTCTCTCGCTCTCTCTCGCTCTCTCGCTCTTTTTTCGGGGGGAGGGGGGCGGGTGATAGGGTTTTTCCTACTAGTAAATTAGTTTAGAAAAGAATAGTTGAACGGCTGTAATTGTGAGGCTGAGCACGCAAAGTCTGAATTAGTCTAGACACGGATAGTCTGAACTGGTCGAGACACGCAAAGTTTGCATTAGTCGAGACGCGATGCAAGCTCATAAATGTCTGATCTCAGAGCGGTCACGAAAACATCTCTTGCAAGATTCCTATCAACAAACTTCTTTTTTTTCTTTTTTTGTTTTACTCTATCCAAAAACCACTCGACCACCACCCCCGACCGATTCTTTCTCTCTGAGTGTGTGTGTGAGTGTGTGTGAGTGTGTGT